CAAAAAGCAACTTAGAGAAATGGTTTATTTTAGCTCACAGCTCCAGTGTCAGTCCACCATTGTGAGGAGTCCTTTGACTCAAGCAATCACTTGACAGCCAGTCCCATCAGTTAAGAGCACAGAGAAACAGATGCATGTTTGACTAGTGTCCAGCCAGCTTTCTCATTCTTATCCAGAATGATGGAGCCCACTTTCAGGCTGGGTCATCACGCTGATTAAGGCAAACAAGAAAGACAGTCTCCTACAGACATGCCCACTGGTCAGCCTAATATATAAGCAGTCCTTCACCTAGCCTTTTGTCCTGGGTTGTGTCTTTGACAAAACTAATCACCATGCCCACTTACTTAGAACCTCACAGCTGGGTCACAGGATGGGTACTAGGGCTAGCATCTTTGTCCTCCCCGGTAGAGATTTCCTATCCCATGCTGACACAGAGAGTGTTGTGGGACCTTCTCCATAAGCCGAGTCTATGTCCTAATGATCTTGGGGAAGCCACACCCTTCTCCCATCCCAACATTGAATGACTCTGTGTCACCTTACTAAGTGCTTATCTGGTTGTCCATGGGGGGAAGTAGCAGGTAGGGGAGGGAGGCCCACTTCCCACCCAGATGGCCAAGCCCGGCTCAGGCGCCTTCCCTCTTCCAGCATCCTTTGACCTGAAGCAGCAGCTGCTTCTCAGCAAGTTCATAAGCAAGGATGAGAATTCGTCACGAAACCGCCACTCACTGAGTTCCGTCCCACCTGCCACCCATGGATCTGCACCTGCCCCAGGTGAGCCCAGCCACTGGGCATTAGGACCACCTACTGCTTGTGGTGATTTCTGACACCAGTATGTCCCTCCTCTCTTCCAGACCCCTGCCTCCCAAGCCCAGCCCCAGCTGCCACACCCCCTGAGGCCTTCAAGTCGGGAAGCACGTCCCTGCCGCCTGTATCCCCATCCCCCTCACTGCCAACCACACCACTCACCGCCGAGGATGAAGTTGGCAAGGAAGATGTCATCTTCTTCTGAGGGGGTCATGACCCAAGAGCAGATCTCCTTCTGTTCTGCTAACCCTTCGTCTCTGGGGATCCCATGGGTGACTGTTACTGTCTGGCCATCCCCTTCCCCTGCCTGAGCACACCCAGGCACTGCTCATCTGAGGTTGCCCTGTTGGTGTCGGGTTTCACAGCTCTCTGTAGAATTAGTGGTAAAGTCTGGGTAGGCTCTTGAATCTTTTTATATATGTAATGTGTAAACAAAGTACTTTAAATTGAAAGTCCAACTCCAGCTAAACCCCAGAACTGTTTTAAACCCTGGCGTAGCCAGCGCAGAGCTAGGGGGCCAGGACAAGAACAGGTGGGTCTGAGAAGACACTGGCTCTGGCAGGTTCCGTAACTCTCAGAAGTCTCTGAACTGAGCTGAGTCATTAGGCACCACAAGGCCCTAGAATCAGCCAGAGTCCAGCGAATCCTCCCTTCCAAAGAAGTTGATGCTGGCCACAGAGAGCCTTGACCAGTAAGTGAACCTGGCAAAGACAGAGGGCCACAAGGTGGGGAGGCTTGGGCAGCCCATGGAGCAGTGGACCGGGGCTGTAGATTCAGAAATCAATCTGAAGAGGGGCAGCCAACTGTCACCCTACACCTGCCCTGCCCTCCCATCCACCCATCTGAGACACAGAACCCTGGCCAGGTTCAGCAGGACAGCACGTATCCCAGACAGACAGTGGTTTGATCCCTGTGAAATGAGCAGGTTTTCCCTGGTCCCTTCAGTGCCCTGCCACAAAGGCAGCAGTGTGGTCAGCAGCTGGTCTGGTCTTGTTCCCAGGGCTGGGCACCCATTGTCTCAAGTGGTGACTGGGGGTCTGGTGGCCTAGAGTGCGGCAGCTGGTGGACAGCAGGGTTCTTTGGTGGTATCTAATGACTTCAGAGTACCACGGAGTGGTGTGCCCCCCCCCCTGTCCATTTCTCTTTTATCTCCATCTACCAGACCCCATCTGTGCCATGTTGCTAATCAGTATTTTGTGTCTTTTTTGTACTGAGGTATATCAGAGTGCTTCATGAACGCTGACTTTTAAGTTCCTGCTCTGTAAAGAGAACATTCTAGGACCCCACCCTGAGAGGGGGGCTCACCATCAGCTCACATGCCCTGGCCCCACCCTAGACATCATGATTTTTTGGACTCAGAAGTTGCAATGATTTCCACTTGGCCTTGGGTAGGGTTTATCACAACCCTGCCAGGTGGCCAGGTGCATCTCAGCTGTGTACTACACACAGGAGAGCAGTGTTGTCAGTGTATCTGTCACCAGCAGCCAGGGGTTCCTCCTCGGTGAACCTCCTTTGCAAAGCTGGTGACACTGAGTGGCATCCCCCGTCAGTTGTGACTGTGATCTTTGTCTACCCCATTATTTTACAGTGATGGCAGAGCATCCTGGCCACGGGGTACTCCAGAATCACCCTAGAACATATGACCAGATTCTAGCAATAAAAATATCCAAAGGACCTCAGGCTGAAGCAGACCTTCTTTGGGTGGAGGGTGAGGAGCAGGGAACTCTTGCCTGCTGAGATTTTGGTGACAGAGAACATGAATGTAGAAGGGTGAGTGGGTACTGTGGTGTGGACACGTGGATGTGGGTCAGTTGGTAGAGAGCTTGCCTTGCATGCATGAAGCCCTAAATTCTGTCTCCAGTTTGGCACAGTGGGGCACACTTGTAATCTCAGCACTTAGGAGGCAGGGCAGGGGAGATGGCCCAGTGGGTCAATGCAAGTATGAAGGCCAGAACCCAGGTCACAAGTCTGATACAGAAGCATGCCTCTGAAATCTCAACCCCATCCTAGGATGGAAAGCAGAGATGAGAAACCCCCCAGAAATGCACTGGCCAGCTAGCCTAATGTACACAGCAGTGGACAAGCTGCTAGGACCTGAGGTTGTCCTCTAGCTTCTCCACACATGCCTGTATTCACGCATACAGGTTTTTGTGTTTAAGGGTTTGGAGCTGGAGAGATGGTTCTGTTTTCAAGAGTTCTGACTGCTCTCAGACAGGACCTGAATTTGGTTTCCATAGTGGCTCTAAACCATCTGTCACTCCAGTTCTAGGGCATCCAACCTCTTGCCTCCATAGGCACCAGGCATATATATGGTACACATGCCTGTTTTTGAAAAATAAAAGTTTAGTCCCACATGTAATGCCTGCACTTGGGAGGTAGAGGCAGGCAGACCTCTGAGTGTGAGGCCAAGGCTATGTAGGGCCCTGTCTTCAAAAAAATGTTTCAAGCATCCTTGACTACATAGTAAATTCAAGGCAGCCTGGCTCACATGAAGCCTTGTCTCAATCACAGAATAAATAAGCAACAGTGGGGGCTGGAGTTTGGTCGCAGAGGACTAGGCTAGTACATGTAGATCTTAGTTCCACTGCCATCCAGAACCACTGGACAGCTCAGCTGAGCCTTCTTCTCCTGGAAGTGTCTGCCCTTTTGTTCTGTGTCTGTACCACATGTGGTTAATGGAAGGCCCTCCCAGCCTGGGCGTGAACTCAGACGTGGCCTCTGTCCTCCTGGGACCCTGACTAGGTGAGCCACTGCTCTGAGGGCATGGGCTCAGACAAAGTGGGGAACCAGTACCAGCATGCCACCATGATGCCCATGATAGCCGGAGCAGGTGGAGCACCACAGGGACAGTCTGTGGTCCCAGCATCCCAGTGGCTCACGAACGCTGTCTTCTGTAAAGCCAAAGTTTCTTGGACTTTAGCCAGCACCAAAGGGTGAGGCTAGGGGCCATTGTGTCTGGACAGCAGGACTTGACTCATCCATCCCTAGTACCAAGAATTGGAGGGAGGGGCAGGGAGCAGGGAAAAGAAAATTGGGAGGAAAGGGAAGGAAAAGAAATTTCTGCACTTGGGAAGCCTGAGCAATGTAGCAGGGCTGTCTCAAAACACACACAAGGGCTGGAGAGATGGCTCAGGTTAAGAGCACTGGCTGCTCTTCCAGTGGTCACGAGTTCAATTCCCAGCCACCACATGGTGGCTCACACCGTCCATAATGAGATCCAGTGATCTCTTCTGGCCTGCAGGCATACATGTGGGCAAAACTCTGTACACATCATAAATAAATCTTTAGGAAAATATGCCCACAAAAGGTTGGCATCAATGTGCAGTCCAAAGGCAGCTGTCTCTGGTCTCCCAGGCTGGGGCCAGCACCTCTCAAACATTCTTGGCTTTCAGATTAAAAATTATACATGCAAGCTGTTAAGATGGCTTGCTGCAAAGCCAATCCCCCATGACTCATATGGTGGAAATAGTGACACACTAAAATGTAATAAAAAACTTAAAAAGGGGGGGGGGGGCTTCACCTACTATAGTCTCTTTCATACAGGATACAAATCCACATGTCTTCAGAGAGGTCAGCAAGCATGGCCTAGCCTCATTGGACCTCTGGGGCCCTTAATACAGTAAGATCCGGTGACTGGCAGCATGATTGTTCGTATTTAGGTGTGGCCTCCTGGAGGCAGCAACCTACAGTTTCCCTCCCAGGACTTCAGGAAGTAGAGAACATTCTCCCAGGCCTTGGCTCATTGGGCAGAGGTCGGTCAGATACTGAGAGGTCAGTAGGCTGAGGGAGTCCTGAGGGATGGAATAGAGACGAGCAGTTTCCCACTTAATGTTCCATGCACCTGTGTAAGCAAACCATGTGACTTAGACCTAGAGGAAGGAAGGCCAGAAAGTAACTAATCACCTCACATACAGACTAGCACCATCCCAAGATATTTAATAGGCATTCCAGTATTCCAGCTTCCCCAAAGCCCAACACTGGAGGTGTGGCATGTCTCTCCCACTCACCTTCAGGCATGCCATCAAATGGGAGGTTCTAGCAGAGTCCTCCTGGCACTTCACAAGCCTGACCTTAGCTCTGGGAGTCCTGGGGTCCTCCTCATGTGCCCCCCACTCCCCAAAGGAGCAGCTCCCCCTGAAACCCTAGTGGAACCTGACATCTATCAGCCCTTTTCCCACCCTACCCAGGGACAGCTACTGGAGTACACAATTCTGGATGCACCTCTGGCCAGTGACTCCCACTCTGGGAATCTGAGCCCTTTGTTGATCACCCACAGTGTCTTCTACCTGCCGCTCCAGGGCCTCATCAAGAGCTGTCTGCCTCAGCTGTGCTGCCAGCCCTGGCAGCCTGATACATGCTGAGGAGGGAGGATATGGTACCCATGAGACCCACCAGCCAAGGAGGAAAGTGGCCACCCCATAGGACACCTCGGGGCAGCCAGTGCACGGCGTTTGCCAGGTCAGCCAGGTTGCTGAGTAGAGTTAAGACCTCTGACCACATCCTTGCTTCCATGGCCCTCCGCTTGCTTCTGGGCAACTGGCTGTGAGAGAGAAGGGGAAGAGAGCCACTCACTGCCTGCCCTTCCTATGTCACCCAGAAAGAAGCAAACAGTGGCCCACAGCCTCAATTCCACACTTTTCCAGGATCCCAGAGTATAGGGGTTGTGACCACTGTCCTCAACTTCATGTCACCCACCCTGCCGTGAGATACAGCCATGAAGGCTCAGCCTGTAGCCCTCATTCTAGCAAGCCTGTTCCCCCTACCTGGAAAAGGCACTACTTCCCACCCAGAGGCTAAAGCAACGCTCTTTGACCACACCACAACACACCCACTCTTTTGAAATGGTCCATCCCCTGAACCTAACAGACTTTCATTATAAAGAGGTGGGGATGGTCATCAGACCCTCATCTGACAATCTAGTCACTTCCTTCTGACTCTGCTGTATGCAATTCCACCCTAATTGCATGGAGGTGCTATGTAGCTATGAGGAAGTTGTGGTCCATGCTGGGGTGAGACTTTCCAATGATACAGCTGTTTGGGCTCACCCACACTCCCACTCTGTTTGGTTCTGCAAGTTGTAAATTGACTAAACCATACTTTAGTTTGACACCGAGGTCCCACAAATCAAGGCAGACATCTATTACAACCTTCCGGGGAAAGGGTTCCCACATTAGCCTTGCAAAGACCAGCAGGGGCATGGCTCAGGGAGGTTAGGGCTCAGTACCTGGTGAAGGTGCCTGTGGGGCTCTGCAATGTCTGTCTTAGCTTCAGTGCTGTCCAGAAAGACCTGCAACACAGGAGACCATAGGGATGTCCCTGCCAGAGCAGCATGACAAGCTGGGGTCAGAGGGCCAGCTCTCCACAGAGGCTGAGGCAGCGGCCTCTACTGCCCTCAGCCTAGGAAACTCTTGAGACCAACCACCCTCCATACTCAGCCAGCAGAGGTCCTGCTCGCAGCCTCCCGCACAGAGCTGCAGACTAGCTGTGCTTTGAAGAGACACTTGTCACTTTTAGGGGCAGATGCTGGGGTTCTGTCCTAGTTAGCTTTAGTTGTCAATCTGAGTCAGCCTAGAGTCATCTGAGGAGAAAAGCCTTGACTGTGGATCAGATTAGCCTATGGGCATTTCTGGGGGGGGGGGGCGGGGGGGGACAACAGGACTGGGGGAGTGAGAGGAGTCCCGAGTACGTGTGTAATGTTGACTGGGACAAGCCTAGGTCTGCAGTGCCTCAGCCCCATGGGAGTGGCAAAACCTCCCCGAAGAGCGAGGCTCAGAAGGGTGGCAAAGGTTTCCTAGAGAACCTGAGTGCCAGTCATTGACAGTGTGCCCAGAGTCTGACAGACAACTGCTGGGCAGTGGTGGCCAGCACCTTTAATCCTAGCACTTGGCAGGCAGAGGTCTACAAAGTAAGTTCAAGGGCAGCCAGGGCTGTTACACAGAGACACCCTGTCTCGAAAAACCAAGTAAAATAAAAAAAAAAAAAAGTAACAAAAAACTAGCAACTGAAGCTTCCTCCTCACAGATGTTTAGTCTGAGGCTGCTGCCTACAGACATTTCCTTCTGAGACTATCTGACCCCTCCCCCACCCGTGCTGCACATGATAAACTGAGCTTCCTGGGTGCAGCTGCAGTAAGTGCCACCTCACCCATAGACTACACACACGCTGCCTGACCTTAGCTTTTCTTTGTCTTCACTCTTGTTGTTGGGGGGGTGGTCTTGATGGGGGGTGGTTAGGGGGTAGGAGGGTGGTGGTAGCAGGATGGGGTGGGGGGGATGGTGGGGGGGTGGTAATTGGACGGTTTTGATTTTGAGACAGGCTCTCACTATGTGAACCTAGCTTCCCTGAAACTCACTTTATAGACCAGAGCTTGTCTGCACATGTGCCCAAGTCTGTCACTTCTTTAGGGCCACTGTCCTTTCTTCATTCCCTCCCATCCCCTAGTCAGGGTTCTAGATCCAAACTGTGCAGTCATGGCACCTACGAGTGAGCCAGCAGGCAATGTTCCTCCATGGTTCTCTGCCCTGAGTTCCTGCTTTGACTTCCCTCAATGACAGATTGTGACCTGGAAGTATCAAGCCCGAGCTGGCCTTGAGCCTGCTGTGTACGATGACCTCTTGCCTCTGCCTCCTGAGTTCTGGGATGACAGGCATGTACCACCAGGTCTAATTTATGCTATGTTGAGGATGGAAAGCAAGGCATTGTGTGTGCTAGGAAGCATTTTACCAACTGAACCACATTCCAAGCCCAGACAGAAACTCATCACTTAACCCAGATCCCACCAGAATGGACTATTGCTGTGGAGCTGCCCAGTGCTGGGAGACAGCCAACAGTGTGCATGTGGGCAGTGAGGTCAGCTGAGGTCAGCGAGAAACCATAGTCATGAAAGGACATCTGGATATTGTCCAAGCATGTCAGAGGAACTCACATCCAAAGGCTGGAAAGAAATTACCAGAGCCAGGCCTGGTGGCACAGGTCTGTCATCCCAGCTTCTTGGGAGGTCGAAGCAGGAAGAGTCAATGGGATACTTAAAATAAGGTTTCCTCCCAAGTAAAAAGTAAAATGAAGCTGAGTGATGGGGGCGCATGCCTTGGAAGCAGAGGCAGGAGGATCCCTGTGAGTTCGAGGTCTATAGACCTAGTAGTGGTCTATAGAGTGAGTTCTAAGACAGCCAAGACTACACAGAGAAACTTTGTCTCAAAAAAAGAAAAAGAAAAGGAAGGAAGGAAGGAAGGAAGGAAGGAAGGAAGGAAGGAAGGAAAAAGTAAAAGGAGGATCTGGCAAGATGGCTCAGCGGGTAAAGGCCCTTGCAGCCAAGCCTGGTACCCTAAGTTGGATCCCAGCATCCACTTGGTAAAAGGAAGGAACTGCCCAAGTTTGTCCTATGATCTCAATACATGGACCACAGCACATATATATACACACAAAAATGAAGTAAATAAATTTTTTAAAAAAGTAAGTAAAAAAAAAAAAAAAGGCCTGGAGATATAACACTTAAAAAATCAGTGCTGAGGGTACCTGGTGCTCATTGGGCAACCAACTAAGCTGAGTAAGGCCCAGGCCAGTAAGAACAGAAAAAAGAAAAGAAAAAGAAAAAATGGAGGGCCAACAAAATGGCTCAGCAGGAAAGGTACTTGCAATCAAACGTAAGGACCTGAATTAGATTTCCAGAACCCAAATGGTTCAGGGAAAGAACCAACTCATGTAAGTTGTCCTTTGAACTCTACATGTGCATACATCCCCCCCCCACACACACACACAAAAAAAAAAAAAGCTAAAAGAAAACTTTAAATAAAAAAAAATTAAAGTGAAATGACTGAGTAATGACATCTGAGGTTGACTTCTGGCCTCCACATGCTCACATATGCCCTCACACACATACAGGCATACTTAATTAATTAATTAAATTTAAAAAATTAAAAAGAGAAGTAAGGAGGAACAAGGGAGATGGCTCCATGGTTAAGACCACTTATCCCTACATGGCAAGCTGGGCATGGTCCTGCACACTCCAATAATCCCATGGCTGAGGGAAGGGAAGAAGAAACAGAGGGTCACTGAGGCTTGTTGGCTGCCAAACTAGCCAAAACACAAGATCTGGGTTCAGGCCAAGACACCCCCTCAAAGAAAAAGGCAGTAAGAGCAACAGGGAATATCCTATGTCCCATCTGGCCTCTGCATAGGCACACACCTACCACACACAAACATTATTGAATAAACTTGTTCTTTTATGGGGCTGGTGGTGGTCAGAAACCATGAACATAATTAAAAACCATCTTTCTTTAAAAGCTCTCAAAGATAAATACATCTTTTAAGGGGGGGGGAGAGAGGAGGAGAGATGGGGTAGGGATCAGAAGCACAGACAGACATTAAGTAAGACTCTGCCATGGTGCTAGCTCTGAAGGAGGAAGGGGCCACAAGCAAAGGGATGTGGGCCCTCTAGACACTGGAAAAAGGCAGAAATGGAAATGCTCTGGGGCCTCCGGGAAGGGACCAACCTTGCCCTACCTGGACATTATCCTGTGAAGTTGATTGCAAGTTTTTGACCTCCAGCATTGTGAGTAACAGATCTGTGTTGTTTTAAACAGCACATTTGTGCCTAACTGTTACAGTAGTTACCAGAAACAAAGACGCAGGATCAAACAGCAGGGGGGAGGGGGAAGGGGCTGCAGACACTACTCAGCAGCAGGGAGACTGGCTGCTCTAGCAAAGGACATGGGTTCGGTTCCCAGCACCCACACAGCAGCTCACAACTGTCTGTAACCCCAGTTCCAGGGAACCTGCCATCCTCTTCTGGCTTCTGTGGGCACTGCACACATGGTGAACACCCATACACATAAAATTTTCTCAAAAATTAAGGAAGGAAACGCCAATATGTGAAGACTTGCCCTCTCCTTTGAGCCCCCTCACGAAAAATGCAAGGGTTGGCATCCCTTGCTGCTGAGGTAACACTATTTGGGGAACCTCAGGTGTCCCCTCTGGCAGATGTCACATACCTGACAACTCCAAGGAGCAGAGAGAGAACCCAGAGGGCTGTGCTCAGGGTCCACCACCGAGCAGAGTCCACCTGGAGGACCTTGGCATCAGCAGCCCAGGCGACATGCTCACATGGATAGTACAGCTGGTCAGCCATGTTACTCAGGACAGACAACCATCGGATGAAGATGTCCTCCTCCTGTGAAACCAAGTGGTGGGGATAGGCCTGCAAGTCAGACCTCCCCACTGCCTGATTTTGGATGGTGCCATTCTGGGCCACAAGACATCCCCATGATCAGAGTCTGGTGTCTGAGCAGGACAGGCCACCTCTAATAGCTGTACAAGAAGAGAGCTAGTGCAGTCCTGGCTTCCTCAGTTCATGCTCATTGTACAACTCACTGGGTCTCAACTCAGACAATGCAATTCCCTGGAGAGCTGTCAAAACCCCAGGCCTGCTGAGCAGTGGTGGAACACACCTTTAATCCCAACACTCAGGAGGCAGAGTCAGATGGATCTCTGTGAGTTCAAGGTCGGTCTGGAATACAGAGAGAGTTCCAGGACAGCCTCCAAAGCTACACAGAGAAAAAAAAAAAAAATAAAGAAAAGAAACACCTACAGCAACCCTGAGCATTGCCTCAGAAGGCCTGGGATGGACACCAGAGGTTTGTTGTTGCTGTTATTTCATTTTTATTTGGGGTGTGTGTGTGTGTGTGTGTGTGTGTGTGTGTGTGTGTGTGTGTGTGTGCATGTGTGTGTGTGTGTGTGTGCAGTACCCTCTGAGGCCAGAACAGCATAGGATCCCTTGAAGCTGGAGGTTGAGGCGTTTCTGAGCTGCTGCACATGGGTGCTGGGAACCCACTCTCACCCTCCTGACTAAGCAGCAAGCGCTGGGCCATCTGCCTGGCCCCAGGGATTTTATCTTAAAGACAGAGTCTCCTGGGTGGCCTCAAACTCACTATGTAGCTGAGGATGACCTTGAACTCTGTGTGTGTGTGTGTGTGTGTGTGTGTGTGTGTTATGCACATGAGTATAAGTGCCTTTGGAGGTTTGGAGGCCAGGACTGAGTGTGCGATTCTGCAGAGATAGAGTTACAGACAGTTGTAAGCTCTCTAGTGGGGGACCTAAACTCAGGTGATCAAGTTTGAACAGCAAGCACTTTTACCTGCTGAGGGTCGGGGTGTGGCTCAACAGCAGAAACCAGACTAGAAACCTCCACTGAGGGGTAGTGTATGTGGCTTGGCAGTAAGGTGCTTACTTAACACCCAAGGCCCCAGTTGGATGGCCAATAATGCCATAAAAAAAATAATACCCAATGAGAAGTCTTTAAAACACCCACAGAGGCCACTGCTCCTGGCTCCTTGGGAAGGTCTAGTCCCCTCTCCCTACAGTTCCATTAACCCTGTTACCTCTGTCCCCAGGCCATACTGCTTAGTGTAGACAAACATGGCAGGGTCATCAAAGAGTCGCAAGACAGTCCTGCAGTGGCTGAGCTGGGCTGACACCTCCAGCAAGCGTCTTCCCATTTCAGACCTGCTGGGACATTGTTCCACTAGGACTCCACCGACGAGCTGGCAGCAATACCCCAGTGTCCGGATCTGTGGGAGACCAGAAGCAGTTACCACAGTCCCCATCATGGACTGCAATCCCCACCACACACCCAGCCATGGGCACTTTAGGATGGAACCCGGAAAGGGTTCTAAGAGTTGCCAGGTATGGTGGCTCAGGCCTATACTTCTCAGAACTTGAAAGACTCAGGTAGGAAGATCACCCACAGGGAGTTTACGGCCAGCATGGGTTACTTACTGAGACCCTATCTCAAAACAAAAACAAGTTCTAAGGGTCAACAAACTTCCATCCCAAACTGAAAGTTTCTGTTTGTATCTTTTGTTTCTTTCTTTTGCTTGCTGAGGCAGGGTTTCACCTCACCATATAGCCTAGCAAGTCACTGTCATCCCCCTGCCTCAGCATCCCCAGTGCTGTAATAACAGGCATGAAGCACTTTACCTAGCTAAAATATCTCTCTCTCTCTCTCTCTCTTCATTCCTTCCATGCTTGCTTCCTCCCTCCATTCCTTTCTAAGATGTAACTTTATTGTAGTTGTCAATTTGAGACAAAGGCTCATGTAACCCGGGCTACCCAGACACTGTCTATGATCAAAATTAAGATTCATTATTCCCCTATTTCTACCAAGTGCTAGAATGAGAAGTGTGCAACATATTTGGAATACACAGTGCCAGGGAGAGAACTCAAGGCCTCCTGCGTGCTAGACAAACACTCTCCCAACACCTCAGGCTCTGAAGAGGGTTAGATGAGAGCTCGGCATCAAAGTCCACAAGAGCCACACAGTGGGGTGTGGTGAGCACAGCTGTCATCCCAGTGCCAGGGGAGCAGAGGCAGGAAGACAAGAAAATTCAAGGCCAGCCTGGGCTGCATGGTGAGTTAGAGGCCAACCTGAGCTATGTAACAAGACCCTGTTTCATCAGAGAGAAGAGAGGTGGGCAAGGGAGGGGAGGAGAAAAAAAAAAAGAGTTGCCATGGAGAATCACACAAGAGTGCTAGCTTGTGTCACCAATTGTTGAAATGATGGGGACAGCCAGGCGATGGTGGTGATCACCTGTAACCCCAGCAATCAGGAGGCAGAGGCAGGCAGATCTCTGTGAGTTCCAGGACAGCCCGGTCTACAGAGTGAGTTCCAGGACAGCCAGGGACACAAAAAGAAACCCTGTCTTCAAAAACCAAAAAAAAAAAAAGAAAAGAAAAAAGAGAGAGAGAGAGAGAGAGAGAGAGAGAGAGAGAGAGAGAGAGAGAAAGAAATGACAGGGACTGAGAAAACAAAACTTTTTCTGCCTCCTGGGTTCCCCTTTGCCCACAGGCAGAGGCATCGGGTTGAAATGAAACACATTTGCCCTTCCTGGCCTAGCCAAAGCCCTTAGCTGGACTGAAAGAGCAGTCTAAAAGACAAAATAGTAATTTGCTTCAAATACTCGGGAGAGAAGGAAGGCATTCAGTAAGAGACTTAGATCATTGAGATTTGGAGGGGTCACCACCCTTGTGTCTAAGTTCCCTTTGTTTTTGAGACAGGTATCATGTAGCCCAGGCTGGCCTTGAACTCCTGATCTTCCTTCCTGCTGTGAGTGCTGAGATCACAGGCTTGTGCCAACATACCTGGTTTACACAGTGCTGAGGATGGACCTGGAAGCTTTGTCTATGCTAGGAAAGCACTGGGCTACAGACCCAGCTCTTTTATTATTTCATTTGCTTGCCAGAAATTGCTGGTTTCAGGCTGTGTGCAGCTGTACACACCTGTAATCCCAGCAACTTGGGAGGCTGAGGTAAGAGGATCCCTCCTAAGACACCAGCCTGGGTTACACAGTGAGTCCCAGAGAAGCCTTGTTCCTATTGGGTCATATGTTGTTTTGATTATAACCCCTGCTGTAATGGTGAACACTGTAATTGGGTTCAACTTAAATGTGAAGCCACCAGTAACGTCTGCCTTTAAGGAGCTGGTCAGGAAAGCTACAACTAACCACAGAAGCCTAATTGGTTCAACCAAAATGCCCATGTTGGAGGGAATTTTACTGTTACCAAAATATTTCAGATGCAGCACCAGCCTTGGAACATCCAAAATCCCCATATGAGAAGTCTTTGGCAGCCCAGATATCCATAGTGACTAGACAACTACTAAATGTGCAAACAGGGGTCTGACTGGTTTGGCTGTTCATCCAAAAAGCAGTCTAAATGTCCAGCTACAGTGGATTTCATTCAGAGTCACCATGGCTAGGGTTCTGGAAGTCTGGCCACATTTGGCTGAAATAAACCAATTGCCCTACTGGAGGTGATTCTGTCATAACATAAATGTTCAGCTACAGGGGAAGCAATGTGCTAAACCCTATTTTAGGTTGCTCAGAACAATCTGAGAACACCAGTGGCCTGGTGAGAGCTTGGTCATTATTTGATTCAGCAGGGCTGGATTGGCAGGTTTGACCCCAAATGTCCAACACTAGATGACTGTGTGATCGATTGGGATCCAGAGGGACAGGTACCTGACTAGATGGCAAGCTTCTGCCTTGCTAAAAATCATAGATTGCATTCCTAAAGTTAGCACCCAAGTTCTATTCCATTATTTGGCCACTTCCTCCTCCCGAGGCTAACAAGGTTCAGCTACCAAAGCACTGCAGTCCAGCAACCAAAAGCCCCCTTTGGCTACCTTAATTGACATGCCCAATTAAAATCAAACCCTTCTCCCTAACAAGGGGTTTTCCCTTTTACCCTTATAAACTGCCATTTGTCTCTAGAGGGCCATGTCCTCTCTATCCAGAAGCAGTTCTTTGTCCCCCTCTGGGACAAATCACCCTTCCCCTTCCTTCCCCTCTCCCTTCTTCCCCTCTGTCCTTGTTCTCTATCTCCTGCCTTTGTCTCTTATTGCCTGCCCTTTGTCCTCCTGTGGCAAACAAATCTTCGTGCTGAGAACTTGGTCTTGGGGAGTCTTGTACCGATACCGGTCCCTTTAGGAACTCCTCTCTGGCCTGTTTCCCCATCTCTGAGTTCTGAGCAAACTCCAGGTCACTCCGACCCAGCACGGACCCAAGCCTCCTCTCACCAGGCGGTCTCTGCCCCTGTAAGACTCCAGCGAGGAAGCCAGACTGTTCAGCAGCGCCATGGCAACTCGGTCGTGACGCCACCCTGGGCGGGTCAAAACTCCTTCCGGAAAGCGTTGAAGGCTGGCGCAGGCGCACTGCGACCCTTTTGTCCCCGCACTAGCACTTGTGGGCGAGCTAGCTAACCTGAACCTGGGCAAATGTGTTGCTGCTACACCTGTACTCCCTGCCTCAGGCACCCAGAATGACCCAGCGAATGTTGCAATCCGCTCCATGTCTGCTTAGGCAACTCCGCAAGCAAAATGTTTCAAAATTAACTCATTGTCCACATTAAAAAAGAGAAACAAAAAATCCAAGCAGAAGCATGTATCAGACCCACACAAAAGGGATTTCTCCTTAAAAGTGCGCTGCACTTGAGGCCTGCTTTGTCAGCTTGTCTGTAGTGAGCTTGTGCGGCTCTCACAACAAGGCCTCTTGATTGATTTTCATTTAATTGTTGTTGTTTATTTAGATTTTTTTTTTTTTTTTTTTTTTTTTTTTTTAGGACGCTATGTATCGTAGCTCAAGCTGTCCTTGAACTTACCATGTACTCAGGCTGGCCTTGAATTCCTGACTCAGTCTCCCAAGTGCTGGGATGGCAGGCATGTGTAGGGCTACAAGGCACCTTTAGAAGAAAATGATCCGGGCTGGAGACCCGCACCTTTGGTTCTCAGCGAGTTCCAGGCCAGCCAGATCTACATAGGGATAGCATAGCCAGGACTGCATAAAGAGACCCTGTCTGGGGGCGGGGGGCGAAAAACAGAAAGAAAAGACCTACACAAGGCCAGCAGGATGGCTCAATGGATAGAGGTGCTTGTGGGCCAAGCTTGTTGACATGAGCTCCATTCCTGGGACTAAGTGGAAGGGACATACTGACTCCCAGCAAGCTGTCCTGACTTCCAGTAACACCTTGGCATGTGGTGTGTGTGTGTGTGTGTGTGTGTGTGTGTGTGTGTGTGTGTGTGTGTGTGTATCAAAATATACAAAGATTTCTCTCTTCCAGGAAGGACAAAGGTGATCACTTAAAAGTATCTGATCCATATCCACCTGGAGATGGCAAAGGAGGGGTTCAGTTTAACAAGCTGGGGTTTATTCAGGTTCAGGGTGGGGGTATGACACGGGTATTTTGAGTGTTTGCTACCAAACAGGATCTTAGGCAATTCAGGCTGACCTCCAGCTGAATTTGTAGCCAAACCTAGTCTTGGATTCCTGATCCTCTTGCCTCTATTCCAGAGGGTTGGGATGACAGGCATGTGCAACCAAGTCCTGTTTGTACAGTGCTGGGTATGGAACCAGGGCTTCAGGCTAGCCAGGCACATAGTCTACCTCCCGACTGAGCCACACTCCCAGCCAGCTCTGAAGGCAATATTCTTCAAGTGACAAAGGATAGTCTCTCGGGTGGTGAGCTATGAGTAGGTGGATAAAGGATAGATAAAGGCTAGTTAGTAAAGCTTATTAGGTAGGAGACTGGGGATGTGGTTCAGCTGGAAGCCGGAAGACACAGAATAGAACAAAGGGATGATTTTACTCAAGTCTAACATGGTGAAGTTGAGTTTATTGAGGTTTCTTACTTTGGCTTACTCAAATGCATCCCTGACAGCCACCCTGGTCAGCCTGGAAGATAACCAAGCCTGGAGCTTCCTGCTCAATTGGGAGGCAGCCTAGCTACTCTGAGGGCCTCCTCTCCCCAGCAGTTGCTACTGTTTACATGCGCATGCATGAAACCATGGATATGAATGCCCTCAGAGGGCAGAAGGGAGCATTGAATCCCCTGGAGCTAGAGTTACAGACAGGTGTGAGCTTCCTGATAACTGAACTCTGGTCCTCTGTAGCAAGCTATGTTCTGACCCCCTGGGCCATTTCTTGTTTGTTTCTTTATCAGTGGTTTCTCAGCCTTCCTAACGCTGTGACTCTTTAATACAGTTCTTCATGCAGTGACCTCCAATCATAAAACTTACAATTCATAACTGTAATTTTACTACTGTTAATGAATTGTAATGTAAATGCCGTTTATGCAACATCTGTGTGGGTCTGAACCCACAAGTTGAGAACAGCTGCTTTAAAAGGTGAATGGAGGTTAGGTTGTTGGGAATGTATGTGCCCTGGGAAGGGATATTGGTACCCAGATCTGTCTCCCTTTGCTTCCTGGAATTCATGGAGACTCTGGCCATGATGTGCTAATTCCCATAAACCCAAAGCAATAAAGCCGAGAGACTGAAGCCTCTATGGCCATAAACTAAGATAACTCTTTCCCTCTAATAAGTTGGTTGCATTTCCTTACAGCAATGGAAAGCTAACACTGAGACCATATATATGTGTATCTTTAACTCTTAGCTCTTTGCTCGTTTGTTTGTCGATGTGATAACATGTGTCAGAATTCCATCTCTTTTTTGGAGGTGAATAATATTCCACTTGATAGACATACTATACTGTGTTTATCCAGGCACGCATTGTTGGTCTTTTAGGCTCTGTCTACCTTTGGAGTCTTATGAATAAAGATGTTACAAACACTCACAGATATGTACTTTTCCAAGTCCCTGGTTTCAATCCCAGGGATGGACTTACTGACTCATGTGGTGATTTCTTTTCACTTTTTGAGGGGTAGAATGTTTGGTTACTGTATGTGTGTTACAGGCATGTTTTCCCACCAGCCTGGTCCCACAGCCATGCCAGCCCCAAATAACACAAGAGATGCTGTATTAGATATAATGCTGTTGGACTGTTACTAGCATTTCTTGTTGCTTGTCTCTAGCAAAACAGAGTCCATCCTAGAAAAATGTTATTAAGAAGCCTTGCTTATCTCTGTTCTTTTCTTTCTAAAACCCCTTTTTAAGCTTTTGTCAAGTTTTAAGTGAAAGTTCTCGGGTCCACATTGTGGCACCATTTTGTAACAAGTATGTTTTCCCGCCAGCCTGGTCCCACAGCCACCCCAGCCCCCAAATAACACACAGAGACTCTGTATTAGATATAAAGCTGTTAGCCTGTTACTAGCGTTTCTTATTGGCTAGCTCTGTCTTAAATATTAACCCATTTCTATCAATCTAAGTATTTCCACCTGGTCTTATCTTACTGGAGAGAGGGCTGGGACTTCTGCTCTCTTTGTCTTACATGTTGAATCTCCTCCTACCTCTTCCCGAAACTTCCTTGCTTTCCTATGGGTCAATGGGCCTTTATTCATTAACCAATAAGAGAAACATATTTACAGAATGACATCTCCCATCGTGTGTGTGTGTGTATGTGTGTGTGTGAGAGAGAGAGAGAGAGAGAGAGTGAGTGTGTGTGTGTGAGAGAGAGAGAGTGAGTGTGTGTGTGTGTGTGAGTGTGTGAGAGAGAGAGAGTGAGTGTGTGTGTGTGAGAGAGAGAGTGAGTGTGTGTGTGTGTGTGAGTGTGTGTGTGTGAATGTGTGTGTGCTGGGGGTAGAACCATCTTTCTGCCTCAGAGAGTGAGTGTGTGTGTGAGTGTGTGTGTGCTGGGGGTAGAACCATCTTTCTGCCTCAGAGAGTGAGTGTGTGTGTGAGTGTGTGTGTGAGTGTGTGTGTGTGTGTGTGTGTGCTGGGGGTAGAACCATCTTTCTGCCTCAGGGCCTTTGCACCGTTGTTCCCTCTGCCTGGAATGCTTTCTCTAGATACCTAGATGGTGTCTGCCCTCACCTACTCTCCATATTAAACTTCTTACCCACTTTCATGTTTGGAACTGGGTCTCATCTTGCATCTGTGATTCTTGGGTCTCTGCCTAAATGTCATCATCTTATGGGGCCTTCCTGCTCACACTTTCTGAATATTCCTTGCATGTTTATTTTCCTCCTTAGCTGTTTTTGGGGGTTGGGCCACATTGGGTGGGGATACCCTCGTGTGCATACAAATGTCGAGCCTGACAGCAATGTCCTCCACTTTATTTTTGAGACAGGGTCTCTTACTGGCCTGGAACTCTACCCATTAGGTTAGGCCATCTAGTCACTGGGTCCCAAGGATCCCCATGTCTCTGCCTCCCTGGTACTGGAACAATAAGTGTACCACTGCATCCTGCTTTTTAAATACAAGTCCAGAGGATTGAACTAGGCTTCTTAGGCTTGCATAGCCAGCCCTCTATCCACCAAGCCACCTCCCCAACCACTGAGACAAGCTGTACTGGAACTTGCTATGCAGCTGAGGATGGCCTTGAGCTCTGTATCTTCTTGCCCCTACTTCTCAAGAGCAGGGATGGCAGGTGTGTACAACCATACCCGATGCTGGGATTTTTGTGGTTGTTTACTTATTTGACACAAGGTCTCAATCTACAGCTCTGGGTGGCCTGAAACTCACTATATGTCCCAGGGTGGCTTCACTTGCAGCTGTCCTCCTGCCTCCACTTCAACAAATGCTGGGGTTCCAGGTGAGCACAGCCATGTCTGGAAAGATCCCTTGAATGTGTGTTCTCCCCAATGGCTTATGTCTGCATGATGCCTTTCTCTGAACCCCCTGCATACTGCCAGGCTTTCTGCAGCACACACACACACACACACAAACACTGTTGCCATTCTCCACCCTGAGAAACAGCCTTGAATTTTGCAGGCCATGCCTAGCTCTCCTAGCAACTACCAACCAGCTGGTGAAGAACTGAGCTTGACCGACCTTTGAGAAAACACTTAGCCTGCCCTGGCCTTCCTAGCTGGCCTTGGACTTGCCAGGCACAGTCTGGCAATCACTGCTGATCCCCAGCCAATGTCCTCCTCCCCAACACAGAATGCCCACATGAGACAAGGCCACTCTGTTAGCTTGTCTCTAAACACAGGCAGTATGCAAAGCTGAGCACAGATGGGAGGAGCCAGCCCTCTGTTCTTTCTGCATTTGTTTATTGTGTGTGTGGGTGGGCATGCAGGTGCTGTGGTGTGTTTGTGGCTGTGTAACAACATTCAGGTGGTTCTCTCCTTGTACCACAAGGATCCCAAGGATCTAGCTCAGTCATCAGACTTGGGGGCAAGCACCTTCCCCCTGAGCCATCTCACCAAGCCCACACCCTTCTTCCTAGTTTATGAAAGCAACTAATACCCTCTATCCATCACAGCTTCATCCCTGCTTCATTTCTTTGTGGTTCTTCCTTCAAATGATACAGAAACTCAAGAACACTGAGCTTCACATATGCTAGGCAAGGGCTCTGCTGATGAGCTGTAAACCCCAACTCCCCTACCCCCACCCAGCCTGAGATCTGCCCCCCACCCATCTGCCCTCCAAAGTCTGTATTTCCAGGAAGCAGAGAAGGAGGAGGAATTGTTTGCATCTGGCTGGCTGAACCAAAGCCCTGGGGTGGGTTGGAGGCTGGGAGCAGAGCTGGCCTCAACCCAGGGGACAAAAGCCACAATTGGCTGGAACTGCTTTAGTGAGAAGAAAACCATCCAAATGGCTTCAGAATCCATTATAGCTTCAACTTTTGCTTTTTTAGACAGGATCTCATCAAGTAGTTCTGGCTAGCCTGAAACCCTCTATGTAGACAAGGCTGTCTCAGACTCACAGAGATCCACCTACTTCTTGAATTCTGGGATTAAAGACATGCACCATACACCTGGACCTTAGCTTTTTTTAAAAATCCTCTCTCTCTCTCTCTCTCTCTCTCTCTCTCTCTCTCTCTCTCTGTGTGTGTGTGTGTGTGTGTGTGTGCTCGTGCACGTGCGCGCGTGTGTGCTGGGGTGTTTTAGAAAGTATGTAGAGGATTTGTATGTGAGTTTTGTCTAGATTTTTTTCCCCATTGCTGTGGATGGGAGAGGGAGGGAGGGAGGGAGAGAGAGAGAGAGAGAGTTAAATTAGTCAGAATTTATTTAACCAAGGGTATGTTTCCAAGCAACCTTTAGGTAGTTTGAGTAGTAAGGAAATATCCATTTAAAAGGTAGCTTGGGGGACTGGGACAGTAGCTCATTTGGTAGAGTGCTTCCTTAGCATTTATCAAGCCCTGGGTCCGGTCCCATCCCTAGCACCACATAAGTAAACTGGACATGATGTGCACATCTGTCATCCCAGCACTGAGGAGGTGGGAGCAGGAGAATCAGTCCATCATCCTTGACTATATGGCAAGTTGGACAACAGCCTGAGCTACATGAGACCTGTCTCAAAAACAAACAGGAGCTGGCAAGGCAGTTCAATGGGGGAAGACACTTGCCACCAACCCTGACAACCCACATGATGATCTAATCCCCAGAGCCCATATGGTAGGACTCCCAAAAATTGTTCCCTGGTATCCACAGACCACCATGGAACACACCCAAATATGTACAAATAAATGTCTTCTGGTTCCATTTATATCGCTGTGGTTTAAATACTCTGAAAAGAAGAAACTAAGGGAGAAGGGGTGTATTTTAGCTTCCAGTTCCAGGTTAGTCCATTATTGTGAAGATAGGAACTTCAACTATTACCATCACATCTGCAGCTGACAGTGGAGAGAATTAAATGCATGGCTGCTCACTTTCTTGCTCAATGTGCTCATTGGTTTCTCCACACTCTGTTATACATTCCAGGACCCTGTCTAGGGAATGTTGCCACCCGCAGTAAACTAAGTCTTTCAACACTGATTGCTTGAGACAATCTGTACAGACATATCCACAGGTCAGCTGGAACTACACAACTCGAGACTCTTCACAAGTGATTCTAGGTTGGGTTGTGTCAATTAAGTTGAAAGTTAATGCTAACCCTCACAAAATCTAATTTTAAACAGTTAAAGGTGGTGCACTTGGGAGGCAGAGGCAGGCTGATGTGTGAGTTGAGACCAGCCTAGTCTACAGAATAAGTTCTGGGACAGCCAGGGGTACACAGAAAAACCCTGTCTCAAAAAAACAGTAATAAATAAATAATCAGTTTTTATAAAGGAATTAAATTTTAAAAAGATTCTTTGGCAGTCTATGAGCCCTGAAATGACAAGAAAGGCCAGTAGCTGAAGGACATTAGTCCCCATGTGCAGTGTCAAAATACAGACAAACAGAAAAACTTTAAAAAATAGGCCCAGACACACCACTTCTTCTAAAGTCATCACTATTATCCATCCTATTTCCCAGAACACAAAACTGAGGCTTTGAAAACTGGAATTGAATGCCTGGATCTCTGACAGAATTCACCCCCAGGTCCTCCAGGCTGCCCCACAGGTAACAGGTACCTTTGTGAAAACATAGTCTGGGAGAATTCTTGAGGTCATGATGTCACAATGAGCTGGGCTAGACTACTTTGGGTTAGCCTCTAGAAAGGACCAGAAGACCATCCCCCCAGGGATGACCAAGGCCAGAGGGAGTCTGAGAGCCCAGACCAGTGCTTAGTTCAAGATTCATTAACCCCGTGAGGTAGGTTGTGTTTCTGTCCCTGAACCCTCGGTATTAGGGACTGAACCATGGATCTCACACACTCAATCTCTAAGCTGAAGCTCTAAGCTGAGGCAGCAGGTAACCTAGGCTGGTGTCCCACTTGTTGTGCAGTCAGGGTAACACTGAATTTCTGATCATCCTTCACTTCCTAATCTTGGGATTATTGATGGATTGCCATGATTGGTTTGTGCCATACTGGGGATTGAACCACGTCTTCATGCATACTAGGCAAACACTACCAGCTGGCTACAGTGCACGGTCCCTTATTTCATTCATTCATTCATTCATACATTCATTCTTCATTCATTTATTCATTGTCCCAGGCTAATCTTGAACTCACACTCAGGTTTGAGCCTGACTCTGTTTTCTAAATTCTGGGATCACTGACACAAAGTCAGCTCTGTGTGTGTGTGTGTCTGTGTGTCTGTGTGTGTGTGTCTGTGTGTGTGTATCTGTAGGCTAGAGGATAACCTCAGTTGTCATTCTCAAAATTGCCCTGAGACACAGTCTTTCACTGGCTCGGAGCTCATTGATTTAGCTAGGCTAGATACCAGTGAGCCCCAGGAATCCCCCTGTGTCTGCCACCCCAATGTTGGGGTTATAAGAGCTACCTAGCAAAGGTGCTGGATATCAAATTCATGGATTGATCAATCTTCAGCTCTTGTTTTGTTTTCTTTTTGAGACCCTGTGTAATCCAGTATAATTTACGATTCTCTATTTAGATAAGAATGACCTTGAATTTCTAATCCTCCAGCCCCTGCCTTTAGATTGCTGGGTGTGTACCACCACATCTGGCTTATGCAGTGCTGGCTCCAACCCAATGCATGCTGGGCAAGCATTCTGCCAATGTTTATTTTCATGTGCTGCAGAATCAAGCACTTAATGTATGCTTCTTTTGTTGTTGTTTTCTTTTTTTGTTTGTTTGTTTTGTTTCGTTTTGTTTTTCCAAGACAGGGTTTCTCTGTGTAGCCCTGACTGTCTTGGAACTCACCCCATAGACCAAGCTGGCCTCAAATTCAGAGATGCTAATGCCTCTGCCTCCCGAGTACTGGGATTAAAGGCATGCACCACCACCACCACACAGTTAATGTATGCTTTTTAAAGAGTTCACTGTGAGCACATAGCAGGCTGAAATCAGGACTTTCTGGAGGAAGTGAGCATGCTTGTGCTCAATTTATTTCAGCATTTATACTAGAGGTTCTTAACCTTCCTGATGCTGTGACCCCTTAGTACCTCATATGGTGACCTCCAGTCATAAAATTATTTTTGTTGCTACTTCTTAACTGTAATTTTGATGTTACAGATGGTAATGTAAATATCTGTGTTTTCTGATGGTCTTAGGGAACCTCTGGGAAAGGATAAATCAACCCCCAAAGAGGGGCAACCCCTGGATTGAGAACTGCTGATTTATACAGTCCAGGACCCAGCTCAGGGTCACTTCTTACCTCAATTAACCTCCAACATCATCTCTCACAGGCCCGCCTGGAGGTTTGCCTCCTACGTGATTTCAGATTCCCTAGCCATCACAGTGTTAAATATCCATTCATACAAGTATGTGGTCTCCAGACCCATTACCAGCTAATGAACGCTCAGAGTTCCTGATCTATTTTTGCTACTTGATGTCCGGGGTAATCTATCTCAAGAGCTTTTATTGCTGTGATGAAATACCATAACCCAAATCAAGTTGGGGAGGAAAGGGTTTATTACATCTTAAAGTTCTTCATCCATCATCCTGGGAAGTCAGAGCAGGAACCTGAAGGGAGGAGCTGATGCAGAGGCCATGGAGGAGCGCTGATTACTCCACATGGCCTGCTCAGCCTTATAGAACCTGTCCAGCGATGGGCCCACCCACAGTGAATTGGCACATCAATCATCAGGGAAGACAATGTGCCACAGGTCGGTCTCAACTGATTTTCCTTCTAAAAGGGCTCTAGCTTGTGTCTGATTGTCATAAAACTAGCCGGCACAGTACCTCAATACCTACTACACAGTAGGAGCCAAGTAAATAAAAGACTGTCACTTTCCTCTTCCTGGGGTCAGGCCAAGGACTGAAAGGCAGCATTATCCTGGGGTGGAGGAGGCGGTTGTCACAAGCTCAGGCCTTTGTCTTCGACCCTCGCAGGTGGCGCCGAAACATCACCATGCCCGTGTGCCCGATGTCCCTGGAGTTTCTCAAGGCCTCCCACTTCGCTCTGGGCCCCGATCCGCGGCTGCACGACGACACTATGCAGTGCACGACGCACCGGGACTTTCCAGCCTATTCCGGCATCACCCCAGCGCAGCGCCCAGCTTCGCCACCGCACGCCACAGTCTTCCAAAGGGAAGGGCGCTGGGCCGCCCAGAAGCACGTGTCCGAGGTGCGCCGCGCGTTCTCGCCACCACCCGAGTTGCCGTCGTGGGATGAGCTGCGGGAGCGCAAAATGGAGCGCACGCGAGTCATGCAGATCAGCAACCTGCACGTGCACGCGGACGCGCGTCCTGGCCTCAACCTGTCCACCGCACGTACTGACTACCGCTGGCCTGAGCTACCGCCGCACGCCCGCGAGGATATCCGAGGCGCGCGCCTCATCTTCGACCGCGACTCGGTGCCCTCAGGCGACAGGGAACAGCTGCGCATCCCTCCCACCTCTTACCAGGCACACTACCGGCCATATGATGCTGCGCCTCAGCCCCGGGTGCCCAGCATCCACCTGGGTGAGAGCGCGCCCTGGCCGTGTTCACCTAAGGATGCTCAGGGACTCCACAACCCTACCCTCACCCCTGCCCATGGCTGCTTGCCATCTAGGAGAGGAAAATGCTTCTAATTGCCAACCAGTAAAGACCAAAGATGCTGCTGCTAAAACTGCCAGGGCTGAGGATGTGGTTCAGTTGTTAGAGTGTTTACCTAGTGTTCATGAAGCCCTGGTGTGCGACCTCAGCAATGTATGAACTAAGCATGATTCAGGCCAACACCTGTCATCCCAGCATTGGGGAAGGCAAGGCAGGAAGATCAGGAATTCAAGTACATAGTGAGTTCAAGGCTAGCCTGGGACCCTGTCTGAAAAAATAAAGCTCTGGAGATGACTCAGTCACTGTTGATGTACAAGCATGAGAACGTTGAGTTCCACCCCCCCTACACCTTATGTTAGAACCAGGTAGGATAATGCATGCTTGGGAGAAAGAGACAGGAGGATCACACACACACACACACACACACACACACACACACACACACACCTCTCCCCATTTGCTGGCCAGTCTAAATCAGAGAGTTCCATGTTCAGTGAGAGACCCTGTGTCAAAATATAAGATGGAGAGCAATTGAGGAAGACACCTGACATCAACTTCTGGCCTTCACATGCATATACATTTTCATGTACCCATGAACATACAAAACAAATACCATAGTATGAATAGTAGCGCATAGCTATAAGGTTAGCATTCAGGAACTAGGGGAAGGGATTGTTGCAAATTCTTGCCTTACTTCCCAGATCCTACCATGCACAGTGAAGCACTGCCCCACAAAAGAATCAGCCAGTTCCAAATGTCAAGAAAACAAGCCAGAAACTAAGACAGCTCACTAGGAAAAGGCACTTTTCCTAGTTGAGTTCAATCCCTAGGTCCCACATGGAGGACTATCTCCTCCAAGTTCTCACACCTGCATATCACACGTGCGTGAGCACGTGCACACACACACACACACACACACACACACATACTAATAAAAAGCTGTGCGCGCCTGTAATCTTAGCACTTCAGAGGCTGAGAAGTTCAAAACCAGCCTTGGCTACAGCACGAGTTCAAATCTAGCCTGGGTGACTCGGTGAGGTTTTCCCAAATAAAAGGAGTTGAGAATATACCTCAGTGACAGAACACTGGCCAAGTGTGTATGAGGCTCTCTCTCTCTCTCTTTTTTTTTCCCTGAAATTGTCTGATAATGATGCCAGTGCAATTGTAGTTGTAGTTGTGCTCAGTAAGAGGACTCCCTTTGAACTGTGCTTTGGTTTCTGGGTTTCTAGTTTCTTTGTGTGTGTTTGGGTGCAATTGTGTAACTTAGAGGACAGCCTTGAGTATCATAGTTCGAGCATCTTCCATCTTTTATTTTGAAACGGTGTCTTGAGGGTCAAGACAATGAGCTATGATAACCACTTTTAAAACTTTTGGTTTTAAATGAGTGAGTTTAGTAAAATATAGAAAGCCAAAACAACAGAGGAAAAGCAAGTGATGGCACAGTAGAAACTAACCTTATCTAGTAAAACATTCTCGTATCAGGAGCTCAGAGCATGCAGCTGAGACCACCTGGGGAAGCCCCAGTGCACTGACTGAGACAGGCCCAGACAGAGCAGTGAGGCTGTCCGCACAGGTGAGGCTTCCAAGTAAAAGAAAAAAAAAGCAGCTGGTAGAAATGACATCAGAACAAGTGTTCACCCAGCAGAAACTGATATCATGGTGGCATGTGCCTTTAATCTCAGCACTCAGGAGGCAGAGGCACATGGATCTCTGTGAGTTCTAGGCCAGCCTATCCTACACAGCAAACTCCAAGACAATCTAGTCTACTAGACTAACTGTGGAAGTTGAGGGATTGGCTGTTCTCAAATACATGATGTTTTCACTCTTGGATTGTTTTGCCATTTTCTTCGCTCCTTGTCACAGAGTTGGGGGCACAGCCCACCCTTGGATGAGGGACCAGAAGGAATACTTTAGGACGTACATGGTCAGGTCTCCAATGGGAGATGGGACCTGAGCCAGAGGCCGCTTCTCAGTTCACTACACAGGGCCTGTCACTGGCACCGACCATCCTCCTTAGGCTGTGCTGGCTGCCAGCAGAGGCTGAAGTCCCAAACTTGTGCCACCACTCCTGACTTTTTAGATTGATTCTGGAGATCCTAACCCTGGTCTTCATGACTGTGAGACAAGCATTTGGCTAGGTCTCCCCAGCATTTTTCCTGTTGGGGACTGACTTTGGAGTCTCAGACACGCCAGGCCAATGCTCTTCCACTGGCCAGCTACTGTGCTTCTAGTTTCTCTCAGGGCCTCAAGGGTAAAGATGAGAGAGAGAATACCAAGTCCCCAACCCGAGCTGGGCCTATGACCCCAGCACTCAGAAGGCTGAGAGCTGAGAGTCCCTAAGCAGGTAGGACTACTGATCAAAATACTGTCCCAAGGGGTGCACACATAAACCACCCCGAAACAAAACAATATAGAAGAAAAAAGGGAAGAGCCCAAGTGTGGTGGCCAAGCCTGTAAAGCTAGCACTGCGGGGAGGCAGGCAGGAGAATCAGTTCAAGGCCATCTTCCACTATGTGAAAAGTTTGAGGCCAGCCTGGACTATATGAGATCCCTTCTCAGAGGAGGAAGGAGAGACGGAGAGAGAGAAAGAGGGAGCAGTGGAGGGAAATGGACTTAGCTTAGGGCCTGTCTCAACAGCTGGTAGATTTTTTTTCCCTTTACATTTATTGTGTTTATATGCATGTGTACATGTTCTGGGGTTCAAGTGTAAAGGTCAAAGGACAGCTTGCACGAGACACTTTGCTTTCACCATGTGAAACTTTGGGGATCTAACCCAGGTCATCAGGCTTCACCCAGCAACCCATCTCAACAGCTTTTTAAAATTGCATAGATCCTTCAGTCTAGAATGCTCAGGGCTGCTCAGCCTTCCTTCCTATGGGTAGAATCCCAGGTGGCTTTAGGGCTGCAGAGAATCAGTCCTATTCTCTGCCTCACCCCGTTCTTCTTTCTTAGGGGGCCCCAACAACCTGAAGTGGAACTACAAGGGACAGGAAGAAACCTCCTACAAGAATCAGTTCCAGGCCCTCCCAGGCCCACCTGCCTTGATGTGTAAAAGGGTAAATCAGGGTGACTGGCTTTGCTGAAGGTGGGCGACAGCATGGCAGTCAGGGTGGTTCTGACCTTTCCACCCTCCTTTGCCCACAGGCAGCCTCCAGTGTGAACCTAGGAGACTGCAGGGATGGCTACAGCAACCTTTGCTCATACATGAAACAGATGTACATGCCTCAGGAGCTGCCACCACACAGGTACAAAAGGTCACAGTCTGCCCACAGTGGGCTTTCAGCAGTGTGTGGGGGAATCACAAGGGGCTCTGGAACTCCTGCTTGCCTTAAAAATGTCCCATCCAAGCTCCACCACAGTGCCACATTGCTTACAAAAGCACCTTGTGGGAGACTGGGGAGATGGTAGAAGTGTTTGCTGTATGAGCATGAGGACCTGAGTTCAAATCCTGAGCACCTACCCAAAAAGCTAGCCATGACCACATGCTTGTCATCCCCATGGAATAGTGCACACTGACAGGGAGATCATTGTTACTTGTCAGCTGCCAGCCTAACTCCAGGTTCAGTGAGACTCTTGTCTCAAAAGAATAAGGTATGGGCCAGTGAGATGGTTCAGTGGTTAAAAGTGCTTGCCACCAAGCCTGATGACCTGAGTTCAATCCCCAGAGTCTACATAGTGAAAGAAGGGAACTGATTTCCATAAGCTCTGCTCTGACCTCCACATGTGCATCATGGGACAAACACAGGTACACACTCAGCCAGGCAGGCTCACACTTGCACATACACTCAGCCAGGCTCACACTTGCACACATACACAGGAAGGCTCACTCTTGTACATACACACACAGCCAGGCTCACACTTGCACACACTCTGTATGCACACAACACAGGTATACCAGCACACACACTCACGGGCCTATAACTCCACTTCCATGAGATCCAATGCCGTCTTCCAGCTCTACCAGCACCCACACACATGTGGCACATATACATACATATAAAATAAGAATAAAATATAAATATCAGGAAAAAGAACAACAAGAACCAAAACAAACGGAGAGCGCCAGGCAGCACTGGAGAGATAGAGGCAGGTTGCTCTCAGAGTTTGATGCTAGTCTGGTCTGCAAGAGTGAGTTCCAGGGACAGCCAGGGCTACACTAAGAAGCTGCCTTGGGGGTGAGGTGGGGCTGCTGCTCTTCCAGAGGACCCAAGTTTGATTCCCAGCACCCACATGATGGCTCACAACTGTTTATAACTCCAGTTCCTAGGGATTTGATACCTTCTTCTTGGGTCCTTAGGCACCAGGTATGAATGTGGTGTGAAGATATACATGCACATAAAAAAATAAATAAAAACTTTAAAAAAGGGAAAACAGAGTATGGAGGTGAATGCCCTGAGTCCTAGAATTGAGGGGACAGAGAGTAATGGTTCACTGTGAGGTCGAAGCCAGCCTGGTCTGCATAGTTCTGAACCAACCAAGGCTACATAGTAAAACCCTGCCTCAAAATAGATTAATTAAAATAAATAAGGGCTGGAGAGATGGCTCCACAGTTAAGAGTACTTGCTGCTTTTGCAGATGACCTGAATTTGATTCCTTGTACACATGTGGTAGCTCCTATCTGTTAGGAGATCTTCTGGCTTTCATGGCAGGAATACTAGGAACATACAGTATACATACATATATACAGGCAAACACTCATACACATAAAATATTAATATTTAAAAATAGCCAGGTGGTGGTAGTGGTATATGCCTTTAGTCCCAGAACTCAGGAGGCAGAGGCAGGCCAGCCTGGTCTTCAGAGTGAGTTTCAGGACAGCCAGGTCTACATAGAGAAATCTTGTCTCCAAAACCAAAAATAACTAAGTAAATAAGCTGGGTATAGTGGCACATGCCTTTAATCCTGGCACTCTTGTCCAATTTTGGTTTCTGTGGCCAAAAGCAACTCTGGAAGGAAAATATTTGTATATAGGTTACAGTCTATGATTGATGGAAGTAAAGGGAACTCCAGGGGGAGCCTAGAGGCAGGAACTGAAGCAGAGACCACGGAGACGTACTGCTTACTGGCTTGCTCTCCAGGGCTAGCTTAACTTATTTTTGTATACAACCTAGGATCATCAGTCCATGGGTGGCACCACCCTCAGGGGCCCAGCCTTTCCCACATCAATCAAATTCCCCACAGGCCAATTTGATGGAGACAATTCTCAGTTAAAAGTACCTCTTTCCAGGTGATTCTAATTTGTGTTGAGTTGACAAAAACTAACCAATACAGAGGCAGAAGCAGGCAGATCTCTGTGAGTTCCAGGCCATCCAGAGCTGCATGGTCTCAAAACTTACACAAATACTACTTAATGCACCTCAGGCTCAGCCATGGCTTACCTGTCCCTCTCACTTTTCCTGATATTCTGAGGACCTACCTTGATCCTAACTTACTTTGCTTGAGGTATGACAAGGCCCAGACTGCAGCCCACATTCACCAGGTGAGCATTGGTCCTGGCGACAGCCTGTTCCATGACAGGACCACAATGAACGACCACTTCTACCCCCGAGAACCAGGTGAGAAGCTACTGTGTATGTACACTCCAGCCCGGCTCCCTTGTCTGGCCTGTTCAACACAGACACACCCCTCCCCTGGCAGAGCCTTTTGTTCTCCATCATGATAAGACCCCGGAGTCGCACATCCTGAAAGGAAACTGGTGCCCTGGCCCTGGCAGCCTCGCGACTTCCACAAAGTTCTTCTATGGTGAGGTCATCAGGAAGGGGGAGAAGGCACCAGTGTGCCATCATGGGGAAGGAGGGTCTCAAATGCAGAACAAGAGGTGCAGTAAAGTGTAGACCACAATCCTGGGTTTCACACACACACACACACAAACACACACACACACGCGCACGCACGCACACACTCACACACCAATATCAGCCTCAATGATTCTGTATGTAAAATACAACAACCCAATTAAATCTAAGCCCATCTAAAACTCAGAGGGTTGGAGCTATCCACGGGGCACCACTGACTCTCAGTGATGGAGACCCTGGACCGGAGATCCCTAGAAGCCTGTACTCCTAGAGCCGCCTCCTGTGACTCAGCCTCCCAGCCGACATGTGTCCCATGAGAAACTGAAGGATCACGTGACCCTGGGAGAAGCAAGGCTGCTCCGAGACTTCTTCCAAACCTCCATGGGCTCAGACTACCGCCCTCCGGACACCAAACCAATACATAGAGCCTTTAACTTTTCTTTGTTGGAGAGTAACTTGCCTGAGGGCACAGGTGGTGAGTGTGGTCTACCCCATCCCCGAGAGCCCTGCCCCATTCCCAAAGGTCCGCCCTAGTTCCTGGAAACCCTCACCTCACCAGAAAGCTGTCCTTCCCTGAAGCCGGTCCACTACCCTATCCCCTCCTTCATTTCTTAAGACATGCCTCTGTCTCTGTCCATTGCTGAAAACACCGCCTCATTCTTAAAGCCCCTCCCACATCTGAAAGCAGGGCACCCACACCCACACCCCCGGTTCCCGCCCAGCTCCAATTCCCTCCTCATCCCCACATTTGTCCATCCCTGAAGTCCCTTTTCCATCTCCAAGGACCTGCTCATGTTGCTATAGGCTCTAACCATAACTGAAAGCTCCGCCCCTAGGAGCCCATCCCCACCTCCAAATACTTGCTTCTTTCCCTCTCCCTTTCCCGTCCCCTCCCCAACCCTGTCCGGACATGGTTTCTCTTGTGTAGCCTTGTGTAGCCTTGGCTGTCCTGCAACTGGCTTGGTAGATCAGGATGACCTCGAACTCAGAGATCCACAAGCCTCTGCCTCCTGAGTGCTGGAATTAAAGGCGTGCTTCTTACGTCTAGAAGCTTTTCTTTTAACTGAGAGCCTCACCCCATTCTCCAAAGACCTGCCCATCTCTGAAGACTCACAGCTCCCTGAAAGCCACGCCCACGTCCCCATGTCCCTCCCCTTCCTAAAGCCCCGTCCCCTTCCTAAAGTTCTGCCCCTCAAAGTGCCTACCTCCACTTATCTCGAATTGATTCCCCCTTGGGTTGACAACTCTGATCTCCTGGATTATAGTAACTTCAATCCTATGATCTGGCCAAGGCCCTTGCCTCTTCCTTCCTTTTTTTTTTTGGTTTTTTGAGACAGGCTTTCTCTGTGTAGTTTTGGAGCCTGTCCTGGAAAACTCTCTGTTGACCAGGCTGGTCTCAAACTCACAGAGTGGCAACCAACACTTCCGCCTTTCTTATTCTCCCTCATCCATCTTTAAGCCCTCCTCCTCTGTCACACACTAGCTCTGCAGTCTTTCCTGGCCCCGCCCTTCAGAATGCCTCTGGTTTGATTCTGCCCATATTCCATGCAGTCTTAGTCTCAATCAACATAGGTGCCTGAGCCCTGAATCTTCCACCCTTAGTCCCTCATATCCTGCCTCATTCATTTCCTCTGCTCCCCAACTTTCCCCAAACCCAAATATTCAGAATTAGATTTTTTAACCACGAACCAAAAGATGATGAAGCCGCATGGAATAGTTCGAGCCACCATCACAGAAGAATTGTTACAGAAGGTGAACCGGAGGGATGGGATGCATCCCCTCTTCAGCAAACCCTCAAACTAACATTAACCCCAGTGTCAGATCGCAGTCATGTTGGCTAGGGGCATCCTGGGATGAAAGTAATTTTGGCAGTGCTGAGGATCAAGCTAAAAGTCTTTTTTTTTTTTTTTTTTTTTTTTTTTTTTTTGAGACAAACCTCCCCAGTGCTGAGGTTGCAAGCATACACCACCATTCAGAATTTAGGAGTCATGTTAGTGACAACCCAGCTTCAAGGTTATCCCTAGTTTATCCCCACTCTCAGGTCCACACCAACTCAGATACACTTATTACCAAACAGGTTTTAAATCTCAAAAGAAGTGTTCACTTAGAGGCCATCTAGGACCATCCACAGTCCTGGGGTCATTCTAAGGACTATTTAAAAGCTGTTTTTATTTATCACATATACAGTGTTCTGTCTGCATGTGTGCCTGCGCACCAGAAAAGGGCACCAGATCTCATTACAGATGGTTGTAAGCTACCATATGGTTGTGGGAATCGAACTCAGAACCTCTGGAAGAACAGCAGCCAATGTTCTTAACTGCTGAGCCAGCTCTGCAGACCCTGATTGTTTTATTCTTAGGACATCATATTTTAGTGGTGCATGTGTGTGTGGGCACACACAAGCCGCAGTATTATATAAGGGAAGGTTCAAGAACAACTTGCCGTAGTCAGTTCTCTTCTACCATGTGGGCCTCAGGGATGGAACTCATATCCTCCCACACAGAGAGGTGTAGAGATGGCCAGGGTGGGTGAGCAGCCACAAGGCTGTCTGACAGACTTCCCACCTTGACTTCACAGTGCAAATACAGCCACATAGAGCCCCCGCTGGGTGGACAGCGTATCTTCTCCACCCAGTATCAAGACCAGTTTCCTTTCAAGTACCAGGGACCACTGGTACTGAAGCTAAATAACACTCAGGAAAGCAATGTGCCACTGGGCACACCCCAAAAATTTGGCTGCTGGGGACAGCTCCTCTGGGGCCCCAGCTCCCTCTGTACCCCTGTGTGAGCCAGCAATAAATACCACTTGTCAACTTGACAGGCTTTATCTTTGCTTTTTTTTTTTTTTTTTTTTTTTTTTTTTTTAACATTGATTTGGTTGTGTATGAGCTCAGTCATGGGCATGCCACAGTGGGGTAGGGGTGTCAGGAGGCAACTTGCAAAGTTGGTTCTCTCCTATCACCAGGTGAGTCCCAGGAAATTCATCTCAGGCCTCCAAGGACCAAGGTTTGTGGCAAGGCCTTTATTGGCTGAGCCATCTTGGTTTCCCTGAACAGGATTGACAATAGTCATGTAAACAAACCCCTGCGCATGTTATACGAGTATTGATGTTTAATAAGGATCAGGAGAAATAATAGGCTGAATAGATGTTTATTCAGGGAGAAATAACTTACAACATAGATGAACATCAGCAAGTTCCTGATTCCAAGGATGCCTTTGGATGTTCTCCTGTCCTCATGCTGCAAGCAAGAGAGCTCTCAGAGCCCCCTCCTCAGACTTAGTTCTCCCAGGTAACTTCAGCCCCTGTCTCCACCCCAGTGGGTGTGGTCTGTGCCACAGATGTTGACAAAGTGAATATCTCACTACAATTCCCCTTTTAGTCTAAAGAAAAGATTTAGGCTTGATACAAAACTATATACAAAACAGTGAATAACAAGTGTGCTCTAAGGAAAATCGAGAACATACAAACTTAAGACCTACATATCTAGTCCTAGGGTGAAGGCAAAACGGGGTTTACAATAGAGTTGTCCTAAGCTGGAAAGCTTAAGTCTAGTACCTAATATATCTAACTAGGAAGAGAGAATAATAATTGTGATAGTTTAATCTTCAACCTCATCAAAGACCTGAGAAGGGAAATAACAATACTATTGTCGGTAGGAAGTGCGGATGAGCAACTTCCAAAAGGTGCAGCAAGGACAGAAACAGCAAGCTACCTGGACAGTCACCCAAGGTCTCACAGCAACGTTGGTACAGCCAGTTTTAGCTAAGGCCAAGAGTATCTGACAGACCACAACAAAAGCTGGGAGGTAGAAAGGCTATCTTTCCCTCACTTGGCAAGGTCAAGCAGTCTTCTATGTTTGTCTCCTGCAAGCACATAGGACCACACATCCAAATCAGTGGTCAAGGTGGGGGCAGTTCTTTGCCCAAGAGGCCATTAGCCGAAGGGAGGATGGACTCCAGAAGGAACAACAACAGTGTCCAACATTTTTTTTCCGGGAAAGTGCACGGTGCTGTCAGGAGCAACAATGTCTCATGTCAATGGAGTACTAATATTAAAACATTTAAATGCCATGTTCTGCAGGTCTATAAAGTGTTTGAAGATTAAGCATCTATGTCTGACTAATTGACTAATCTTATAGGTGTAGGAAACATGGGTGAAGATAATCTGTAATACTCAAGAACCTAGCTATAATACTGATTGAAACTTCCCTGCGGGGACAAATACCTAAGCAATATAATTATGTACGTATATATAAATGTAAATCCCTAAAACAGAGGTAGAGTAGAAATGTCTAGACATTTCCACTATAAAGTGCAACATGATAAAAATATCCTAAATTGTATCAATATACAAAAATGTCTTGAACATAAGTAAAAGTACACATACATAGAATATGGTAAGGATATTGTGCAAAAAGCATCATAAGTGGAGTTTCTAGATTAGGTTAATTAAGGCCAGATGACCCTAAATGTAGGTGGCACAATCTCATGGGCTAGGGTTCCTGCCTGAAGAAGAAAGAGAAAATGGCCTAAACACCAGTAGTCTTCACTGCCTGCCACCTGCTGACCATGGAGGCAATGTGACCAGCTGCCAGCTCCTGTCACCTTGCCAATCCCCCATGATGAACTGCACCCTCCAAGTATGAGGTTTTCTCTCTCTCTTTTTTTTCCCTAGAGTATGTTGGTGTTTTGCCTACATGTATGTCTGCACACCATGTGCAGGCCTGGCGCCCACTCGTGGAAGCCAGAAGAGGACACTGGATCCCCTGGAAGTAGAGTTATAAGTGGTCGTGGGCCACCTTATAGGTTCTGGGATTTAAATCCCAGTCTTCTGGAAGAGCAGCCTGAGCTCTTAATGCCCCCAAACTGGTCCCCAAACTGGGGGCTTCTGTCAAATACTTTCTCATAGTGATGAGACAAGTATCCAATGCTGAGGGTTGTACTGGAGAGAATGATGTCATCAAGACACCTGAGCAGTTGTGTGTGGTAGAACACACCTAGAGACTCAGGCAAGAGGGTGGAGAGTTTGAGCCCCCTGAGCTACAGAGTGAGTACCTGTTTCACAGAACAAGAGCCTGGCACGAAAACACAAAGTAAAGAGCAGGCTCTTAAGGATGGTTTGTTCTTGTTTTCAAGACAGTGGTTCTCTGTGTAGCCCTGGCTGTCCTGGTACTCACTCTTTAGACCAGGCTGGCCTCAAACTCAGAGATCCATCTGCTTCTGCCTCCTGAATGCTGGGATTAAAGGTGTATTCTGCCCAGCTCTTCTGATGTTTGAATGAGGCACAGAATATGAATAGTGGGTCTGGAGAGGGTCAAGAGCACTGACTGCTCTTGCAGATAACCAGAGTTCCATTCCTAGCACCCATTTCCAGTGGCTGACACTCACCTGTGAGTCCGACCCCAGTGCTCAAGCTTTGGAGTACACTGAACTCCCATACACAAATATACAGAGATAAGCACATAGACACATAATTAAAATGTAAAAACTATCTGGGCAGTGGTGCAGGCACATGCTTTTAATCCCAGCACTTAGGAGGCAGAGGCAAGTGGATCTCTGTGAGTTTGAGGCCAGCCTGGAATACAGAGTGAGTTCCAGGAGAGAGAAACCTTGCCTCAAAATAAATAAAATAAAAATCAGGCAGGAGAGATGGTTCAACGGTTAAGAATACTGGCTTTTTCCAGAGAACCTGAGTCCTTACGGCACTTGTTTCTATGTGAAACACAGACGTACATGCAGACAAAACACCCATGCTATAAAAATAAGTAAATCTTTGTTTTTAAAAAAATCTTTAAGGTAGTTAACATATAAAAGAGAAGATGGCCAGTGTTGGCCAAAGACATTGGGCAGGAATGTTGAGTGTGGTAGAGACCTGGGGCTCCAGGGACAGTATCAATTCAGACTCCTTCAGGTCTTAAATATATATATATTTTTTATTTTAAAGCTTTTTAGTTTATGTGTGTGTGTGTTATGTCCACAGAAGACAGAAGAAGGGCATCCTGTCTTCTGGAGCTAGATTTCCAGGCATTTGTGAACTACCCTATGTGGATGTCTGGAATTGAACTCTGGTCCTCTGTAAGAGCAGCAAGAGTATTTAACAGCTGAGCCATCTCCTCAAGGCACCACCACCCCTCTCTCTTGGAGACAGCCTCTCACTATGTAGCCTGGATGGCTGGCTTGGAATACTCTATGAAGATCAGGGCATTCTCAAATTCATAGAGATCCACCTGCCTCTGCTTCATGAGTTCTGGGATTAAAGGTGGGCATCAGCAGAGTTTTTAAAGTTTTAGGTTTTAGTGTTTTTTTTTTTTGTTTGTTTTTGTTTTTGTTTTTTTTTAGTACGGGTTGTTGTGGGGCATATGGGTCGTGTTGCTTGGGTAAAGGTCAGAAGAAAACTTGTAGGAGTTGATATTTCTCCCTTTGCAATGTGGGTAATTAAACTCAGGCTTGGCAGCAAGCACTTTTACCCACTAAAGCATCCTTCTGGCTTTTACCACAATGTTTTTTTCTGTTCTTTAGTTGTGTTTGTTTATTTGGAGAAAGGATCTCATTATATAGCCTTGGCTGGCCTAGAATTTACTGAGTAGATCTGGCCAGACTTGAACTCATAAAGATCTGCCTGCTTTTGCCTTGTGCGTGCTGGGGTTAAACGTATATATTACCATGCCTGGCCACACCACAATCTTTTCCATCTAGGGACTCATATTGCTGGATCCTGTCTCCTAGCAACAGATCTACATTTGCCCAGACCATCCATCTAGTTTAAAGTCATAACCTAACCGAAGGGTAAATAAAAACCTAGAGTAAGCTCTGACTCCTGAAAGGAATACTTGGGTTCTGTGGATTGGGAATATTTAATATGTCAGGAGAAACAGACACCTAGAATCTCCCTAGATTATCTCTGATCATCCCAGTTTTATCTCTACCTCATTACCGTCCTCACTTAGTGTGGACAGAGAATTCAGCTCTCGAATTTCACATGGAGTATGAACAAGCTCTTCTTTGGCAAAGATGTCTGCAAGAAGCTTATGTCCTTTAATACCTCACTGAAGCCGAGTAGTGGTGGCTCATACCTTTAGCAGACAGATTTCAGTGAGTCCTTGACCAGCCTGGTCTACTGAGCAGTTCCAGGATAGGCTCCAAAGATACAAAGAAACACTGTCTCAAAAAAACAAAACATAGTGTAACAACTCACTGAAGGGGCCAGTGAGATGGCCCAGCAGGTCCAACATGTTATCACCTGAGGAGACTTGAGTTCCACCCTGAGACCAAATATGATAGAGAAAGAGAGCTCCACATCTCAATATCCTTTTCTTTCCACAGGGTGATTCCTTTTATTTTGGTTTTGCTTGGGGGCATTTTGTTTTTAGCTTCTTTTTGTTTGTTTCTGTATTTTTGAAAAAGGATTTCATTTAGCCCAGGGTAGCCTTCTTCAGCTCCATAGTGAATTTGAGGTCAGCCTGAGCTACGTGGGACCTTGAAGAGAGGAAGACTAGCTTCTGTTTTCAGTAAGAAAGATCCCTACATGAAAGAAAAGAGGAGGCTCTTTAGCAGAGAGTATTGGGAGACTTTTTGGGTGGGCGTGGACTTGTGCTGGGTGGCTTTAGGAGAAACTGAAGCACTTATGGTTGGTACAGTCTGTGGCTGGGATTCCAGGACTTTTATCTCAGAGATGTGGGAGGGTTGAAAGTAGAGTGTGGGCGATGGCTGACAGACAGGGTCAGGCATTTGTGTTATGGGGAAAAGAGGGGATGTGTGGTCACTGTTCCGGTTGCAGCCTATTCTTGTGTCAATCTTAG